AGCTTTACATAGAAATCTATACGTTCATTATAAAGAGTATGATTAGCTCTTTTTAATGATGTGCGCAGCTTGCCGCAGGTCAATGTCCTTGAAATTAGGACGAGAATGAAAACGCTACGAACTTATGAGACAACCTAATAAAAAGGCGTTTCAAGTTTGCGCAAGATTTCTATATTCTGTTTCAAACATTTCTGCACAAAAAATTTGCTTCATTACTTCCATATAAGTAGGCCAGATAACCGGAAATCTAATAGTGTGAATGTTACCAAGGCATGGCAGATGAACAAGACTTCAAAGCTCACAAAAGTTTTGAACATTTTTGAAGTCTCTGGAGTGTGTAATTCTGAAATTTCATTTCCAAAGAGCTACAAGTTGTAAAGGTACTTATCAAAAGCTTTATTTCCTGTAAACTATCAAAGCTACGAAATGGACGCATGTAGTGAATGAAACTCACGATTTTTTGAGTATGGGAAGCGAATTGAAGAACGTGAAAGTCAGATTTCTATTTTTTTTATTGAATAAGAAACCCTGCATCCAACATTTTTTTATTTAATTATTTATTTAATTATTCAAGAAGTCGACATCCGAATGATTCTAGAGGAGGAAGATCAATAATTTCAGCGGTCGACAAATATCTTATACGTCTTTCAAAAACAATACCCCCTATTTGGGGGCCAGCGAGCCCGCCTGCAAAGGCTAGTTGGCCGTAATCCAGAGAGAGAAGTAAAGGTTTCAACGGTTTTCGAAAGGACAATAAGACATAAAGGAAGAGAAAAATACAATAAAAACCCTCGCAAAAGGGGAATGATCAGAAAGAAAAAAAAGAACGAAATGAACACAAGGAGAATACTGAAGCAAAAAAAAGACAATTTGAGAGAGTTGCAGTAATACAAAATGGTAAAGAAATCACTGGAGTAGATACGTTTTTTTGTGATTTGGGGAACAAAAAGTAGAAAATTGAACAATCGACATAGCGAAGAATTTCGCCTTCTTGGAGACAAACCATACGTCAGTTAGATTTCATTGTGGAGAAAAGGAACGTCGAAACCTCAAAAATTTCCTGGAAAATGATAGTCAGAATAACCCTTGTGATTTCAGAAATTTTTGAACTTCTCTGTTGAAAACGAATGTAGATCTCGCGGTGATAGTTTCCAATGGGAGCGCATTCCTGTTTTGATAACACGCACTAAGAAAGAGTTATAGAATTGCTGGTTCCTCACTTTCCCTACTACAAGCCTGAACATGTGTCCTCTAGTGTAATTGTTGAAATTCGATAGACTGAAAAAAATCTTGCGTTTCTAATTCAATCCTGTTGGTCATTATTTTGAAGACAAGGTTTTGGTCATAAAGGGTTCTTCTAAACGCAAGAGTGGTAGTGGCTAAAATAGAGAGCCTAGATTTGTACGACAATCGGAATATTCCAGCTCGGGCAAAAATTCTGGCAGTGAACGATCTCTGGACTTTTTCTATTATTTCCGTAAGGGTTTTCTCAGAGGGAGACCATAGTGGAGTGCAGTATTCCAAAAGAAAACGAACATAGATGACGAAAAGGCGAAAGAGAATTTTTACATTAGTAGTTTTGAACCCACGAAGGATGTAATTGCACCTGGCGTGAGCGGCAACGGTGATATCACGTATGTATTTCTCAAACTTTAGTTTGTCAGAGTAGGTTACACCAAGGTCCCTGGCGCTGCTAACTGTTCGAAGCTCATGTGTCCCAATACGAAAGGAATACGAGGGATGTGCACATCAATGGCCATGATAAAGGTTTTTTCCGCGGAAATGTCAAGCTCCCATTTGTCGGACCACTTCTCTACCGCGTCCAAAGCGCGCTGCATCAGATTAGGGTCGTCGTAGCAGTAGAGTTTTGTGTCATCAGCATATATAGAGCAATGTACATCGTGGGGAAGGCATGACGGCAGATCGTTGATGTAAAGCAAAAACATCAAAGGCCCTAAGCAAGTACCTTGCGGCACACCACTTGCCGTTAGATAGATTGATGAAAGCGATTCGTTGACCCGCACTCTTTGCGTGCGCTCAAGCAAGAATGCTTTGAGGAATCGCAACAAACAACCTTTGATGCCGTAAGCATCTAATTTTTTAAAAAGAAGAGTAAGGGCAAACATTGTGTAAATCGTGGGCCACTTACGTGGACTGTGCTCGCTTTTTGACCTTTGGAACACTCAAATGCGCGGCAACGGCCTTCTACACTACAAGATGGAAACAGCACTGAGCTTTGAGTCACTTTCAGTCTGCAAAGCATATTGATAGTGATAACACACGAATACAGCTTCGAAGATAGCTTTGGATACTTAACGTCTATCTAGATTCTGACTTTACTACGCTAGTTTGGAGCCCCTAAGGGATGATCAGCTTGGAGAAAAGAAAAAAGACTTTTATTTACTTGACTTCTATGGTGTTCTAAATAACTTCCTACTCTTTTCAGTCAATAACTATTCAATCAGTTAGACACTTTTCTGAATAAAGTAGTCATAAGGCTATGAATACACAGATTACAACGAATATGGATGCGATAAAAACAGGAAATCCCTACTATAATATACACTGGATTCCTCCAAGCGCTACGGCAAAGTTCTCCGCTTTCTCTGTCCTTACCCCATGCATGAGGAGAGTCCAGTTGCTGGTGGACTCTGGAAAAAAGAAATGCGATATATCAGCGCTCAATGATGACGAGAGGAGAGGCCAGCAGTTATTGTAGGCGAGAGATGTGCTTGCACTATAGGTCCCAGGGAGAACCGGATTTTTATCAGCTTTGAGCAGTGCGACTGTGAGTCGGCGCAAAGGTGTATTTGAACATGCCGTTTACGCAGACAACAATCTTTAGAATTATCGATTACCTGTATACAGAAGCCATCAATCTGACAAGTGGATGGTCAGAAGTCAAAGTGGAGAGGCCAGCAGTTATTGGCCAATCCATGTGAGCTGCATATCATTCCATGCAGCATAAAGTGGTAATTTCAAATCTGTCTTCCATGTCTGCGGAGCGCCTTTGTAGGCGAAGTTATGGGCAGCTTTACTGCGAAAAAACCTTATACGAAAATTGCGAAGTTAGGCACATTATTGCTCTTTCAGCTCATTTCTAGGTACGAGTCATATGAAATGACCTAGTTGCTGTTTTGGTTCAACGCTGAGCCGAGAATGGCTTTGTAGGCCAAGTTTGCACTTTACGTGCACAATTTCCTAGCAAAATAATGGCCTTCAACGGCTTATAATTTCGTCCACGAAAGCGCTTGCAGATAAGGAAGACAGATTTAAAGTCAGCGTTTTATGCGGCATCTAATGATATGCAGCTTGTATGGATTCGTGGTGAGGGTCGTTGTGGTTTTCGTAGCATAGTAGGCTGTCTCGCTGGTATGAAGAAAGCGCGTTGATAATCGTTCAACTTATTCTATACTGTTACGTGCAAGCATTATTCAGGCCCGTATGCACGTACATCCCCGCGGGGATGTACGTGCATACGGGAGGGGATGTGCGTTTAACCATCGAAATGATCCCCGCTGGGGCTCCCCTCCCTTCCCCAGGCGAACCCCCGTATGCAAAAAGACAATACCGGAGAGGGGATCCTTTGGAAGTAAAGGAGGGGCGCCCCCTTATGCAGAAGGGGAGATCGAGCGGGGAATTCATTTTGCTTCCGCTTTCTTGCAGTAATTATTCCTTTTTTATTCTTATCTTTTGATAGCTACTGGCCTTCAGTGTGTCTCGGCGACATATAGTCGTTACGGAATGCCGCCTGCCGTGATTGCGGTCGGCGCACTGAAAAAATATTTCCTACATCCATCATATTCCTGCCGTTTTCATGGATCCTGCTCATTTTCGCCCATGCTGCCCATTTCAGTTAAAGGTGTTCAATAACAGAAGTCAAGGTGTGTTTGCAGTGAATGGGTAGAAGACGTTATGCTGCCGAAAAAAAGGGGGGCTGCCGCGGACATTCAAACCAGCATTTCTACACATAATTGAAGCTGCAAATCGTGCCAACTCTCCATAAACGCTGTAGCTATCAGCTACATATCGTCCTTTACCCCAGGGGAATGATCCCCAGCGGCCATCCCTGCTATGCACAAGGGGAACGCTGGAGAGTATACTTGGGTAATTCGAAAATTCTTTATCGAATGAATGAGTATTAAATAAATTCGAAAAGGAAAAATTTCGAATAAACGAGTATCGAATAAATTCGAAAATGAAAAATCTCGAATAAATGAATATCGAATGAATTCGAGGTTCAATTTCCGAATGAATGAATTCCGAATAAATTCGGAAAATCAAAAATATCGAATGAATGAATATCGAATATATTCGAACATTGGTAGTCGAATTTCGAATAAATATTAGAATGATTTATCGAATAATTAGAGCAACCATACCTCAAACTTGCCGATATATCTGGCTAAAGCCGATCCATTCATAATCAGCACCTCGTATCCCCTATACCAACTCCTAGCTCAAAATTTTCCAAAAATCGCTGAAATCGATAAAATAGATCTCGGTTTTAATCAGAATCCTCATAACCCCCTGTACCAACCCTCAACCTCATAGCTCAAGATTTTCCAAAAATCGACAAGATCGATAAAATAAAAATTTATTCATAATCAGCACCTTCACTTACCCTCCTCTACAAACTCCCAGCATCATAGCTCAAAGTTCTCCAAAAATCGATAAAGTAAATTTTTATCCATAATCAGCACCCTCACTTATCCCTCCCCCAGTAGCAATTAGCCCATATTCATCGGAGACTTTCGTCTTTTGTGGTACAGGCTAGTGTTTGACGAAGGCATGTGGTTTATTTCGCGAAGCGAATGCCCCTGTAGCCCCGGGCAGACTACTGCAGACACTTCAGTAGTGACGTGGTTTGGCAATAGTCAAATTGTTCATACCTTGTTCGGATTATAAAAGTAGAGAATGCAGGGCACTTATCTGTTCGGAAAGTTGTACACGCTACACAATTGTGGTAAGCTGGCGTTACATTTGAAGACATCTCGTAAATGGCACATCGCGTATGGCTATTACGTGAAGTATGTCATAATCAAACCTCGCATTTCTCAATGTGGACCTTATTCGTCCGCCTTTAGCCTTTACCATAGTTGGTAGGCTGATAGCTCCTGGTGTTAAAGTGCTTGCAAGCCTCCGTGAAAATCTTTGATGCAGTGTGATAACAGAACTATCGTGTACTATCTACTAAACAGAAGTTTACTTTGATAGGTGATATAACTGCAAAATTCAGCAACCGTGTAATCCTCCACCACAGCTGCATTGTCCTTTATTCAAAATACACCAATTCGCAAAAAATCTCTAAGGTAGCGAACTTTACGTACGAAAAGCATGAGCAATGCAAAGAGAGAAAAACAGGTATTTCAAAACAATTCCAATATATGAACTCGGAACATGAGCTTGAATTTGATAGCTTCTTTGCTGATTTGGTGCCAATAGCAGTGCGAACAATCTCATTGATCGAAAAAGCATCAATTAAAATCTACATATGATTTTTTTACTGTCGCAAGCAGTCGGAAGACTGCGACTCTCCATATAGTTCAAAGTTCATAACGGTTGCAAAAGATGCATTACAAATTTATGCGAAAAGACGCAGGCGAAGTGAGCTTGATACTTAGCAGTTGGCTCCGCAACAAAGTTGAATAATCTGAATGCGGAGGTCATTCGAATACGAATTCGAATAAACATTCGAATAAAACATTCGAATAAAATTTATTCGAAACCCCTTTTTTGATTATTCGAGTTTTCGAATAATATTCGAAACCCTGTTTTTTGATTATTCGAGTTTCGAATAATATTCGAAAATGGAAGAACACCGAATATCGAATTTCGAATACAAATATATTCGAATGTTTTATTCGAATGATCGAATTTCTATTTGATTCGGACCCAAGTATACTGGGGAGGGGATCACTCTCTTGAGGATCTCTACTCAGAAACACGCGAGTCTGCTAATTTTCATTTTATTCAAAGCAGTTTTACGTTAGGATAACAAGATAAAGACAACTTATCATATAATGTGATAGTTACAATATATTGTACCAGCCTTAATGGATAAAACTATCATGTCAAATAAAAAATGCGCAACTCTCGTGAATGGTCACAAACTTCTACAGATATATCCGAAACTGGCAGATATATGTCCGGGCTTCTTTACAAGAAGCGAATGTGGAAGAGAGAGTTAAAACTGTAAGCTACAGGGCGCTGAGAGAGGAACCCGGCTCCCGCAGAAAATCTTTCATCATTTTGAACAAAATGCTTTGTAATAAATGATTGAAATCAGAATACTCGCTTTTCTGGCTTGACCTACGCCATCGAACCCCTACTCCGTTGTAGGGGATGTCGATTTCCTCCCCCGCGTTGTTGAGTTAGGTTCGCGCATACGGGGTTCGAGTGGGGGAGGGGAAGGGATCCCCTCCCCCATTCGAACCCCGTATGCACTGGGGGTTCGCTCGATCAATACCTCTGAAACCATACACACCATCTCCGCTTAGGTGCAGGGGAAGGGATCGCTCCCCTGAGGATCCAGCTCCCCTCCCCTCCCCAGCGGGGACGTACGTGCATAGGGGCGTTAGAGTAGGCTACGACCTTCTTGGATTGCGCCATGTCGATGGGAGCAACCGTATAATAAAGATTTGAAAATGGATCTGTTTCCCAGGTATCGGACGGATACTTGACAGTGTTTGCAAATTTGCGCTTTTTAATTCTTAAACACAAGAACTCTAATTTCGAAGTCTTCTCTATTTTAAAAGAAGAGCAAATCATCTGTAATTTTGAGACATCTTTTGTTAAGTTGTCCCATAAGTCTTTTCATACCTGATTTTTAGCGACATAAATCAGTTCTTCTTGAACTCCTAATAAAATGCAGGATACCATTCGAAAGATAAAAGCAAGCTCTACAAGATGGCGTTCAAAACTTTGCAACAAGTTCATTCTACAACGAGTTCGGAGATAAAATAGAAAAATTTTCAATTTTCCGAAAAAAACGAAAATCATCATATCTCAGTTCAAAACAACTCTGCAAATTTCCTGCTTTCTCATGCATATACTCTCCTCATCGGATATTTATACATGCCCTTGCTGCATTTTTCTGACGGCTAGAAACCGAGAAAAAAATAATGCTTAATTTTCAAACTTCGCCTGTATCAGTTCTGTGTTCCCCGCAAATAGGTGTTTATATAGCGTATTAACTCAAAATTACTGCCACAATTTTACAGCCTTCTATGTGCTCTAGTTCTTGAGAAATATCGAATTAAAGGTCCGAATATGAAAAGACTTATGGGACAATTTAATATTCTTTGTCATGAGTTCCAATTCCCTCACTTGATAAAATTAATGTGGGAAGAAGCCAAGATTTTGGCTAAATTTCACACCAATCCAACGCTCGCCATGCCATAAAGCAACCTTGAAAATTACCGTAATTTACACTTTCCTGACAGGAAATTGTTCACTTTTTTATATATAAACCGACTTTATATCATAGACCAGGACGGCTCCCAATTTCACCGATTTTGGCAGCAAAAAACCAAAAAATTTGAAAAAACGTGTTGCGAAGTCTGGTCAGAGCTATGAAACCATCTTCCAGCTTTGAGCAATACTACATTCTCTTCACCTGAAATTTTTTGTGCAGTTACAGCTTTGAAATATGAAACGTTTCCTACACCTGTGACTGTCGCCTTTGAAAAAAATTTATACTGCATTTTTTGCCTCAAATGCATTAAAAGTTGCATTGTTTTCAAGCACTTATTCATTCTGATGAAAACATTAGGGTTCGCTGAGCCTTTGCCGAAGAAATAAAAGGCGTTTGGGTTAGCATTGCGTAGCCGCTGATTTTGATGAACGAGCCTCAACCTCACCTTCAGGTAGACGAGCTTCCGAAGCACAGAAGTTGACTAATGCCCAAAAAAGCATGAAAAAAACAAAAAGCAAAAAAAAACAAAAAAACAGTACCTCAGTAGGTCGTTTGTACCAAGGTAGATACAAAGATACACTTGTGCGTATACCTTAAACATCATCGCAATTCTGGGGAATATAGTTGGACGCTGTACGCTCGGACGCTCATTATTCAGGAATGCGCGGCGCACTCCGCGTAATCATGACCCACTCTGCCACTCAATGGGGCGGAAAACCGCTCAAAGTGCTAGTATTCTTAACAGTTCCGTAAGATTCGAGCTGATGAGGAGTTAAAAAGAGTACAATTTGAAGAAAGCGTTTTGAATGCATTGTCGCAAATTACCCTTTGTAAAGATTCTGGCAGCTGCATGAGTACGTCGCCATTCGAACAAAGTTTGAACTTCCACTTAGGAACTTTTGCTTGTCAGAAATCGAGTTTTGCGTCTCAAAAGCGCTTACACCTTGGTAAGAGGCTCCTTCATCAGTACCAGCGACTACGAATGTTGACTCAAGCTTCATTGCACTGCAAAGGCTCAGCGAATCCTAAGATTTTTATTTGACTATGAATTTTCCTTTCAAAATTCGACAATTTATATTTGACTTCATATTTGACGCTGTAACTGTACAAAATCTCTTAGGTTCACCGAATGTAATATTGCTAGAAAACAGAAAGTGGCTTTGTAGCTGTGACCACCCTTCGAAACAGTTTCAAATTTGCAGTCTTTCTCCTGCTAATATGAATGCAATTAAGAGTCGTTCTAGTTAATGATATAATGTTGGTTTGCACACCAAAAAGTGGCCTTTCAGATAATTGCTTTTAGGACAGGGCAAATTACCGTGAATTTCTAGGATAAGGCTCGTTCATCAATATCAGCGACTACGCAATGTTAACCTAAGCGCTCTTTATTACATTCACTGCAAAAGCTCAGCGAACCCTAGGATCTCCATTTGAGTTGAATAAGCGCTCGAAAATATGGAAAAGTAAGTTTTTGGAAATGATGTAAATTTTTATGCATTTTGAAACAGAAAATGCAGTATGAATTTCCTTTTCAAAATGCGACAACTACGTGGTTTTTTATATACGCTGTAACTGTGCAAAATCTTTTAGGTTCAAAGATTGTAGTAGTGCTCGATATTGAGTTGTCTCATAAGCTTTTTCAATTTTGAATTTTTACCGCAATAAGTCTCGCACTTCTCAATTCTGATAGAGTGCAGGGTACCGTTCGATAGAGCAAAGCAAGCTCTATAAGATGGCGTGTATATGTTCACACCAGCTTCAGCATATCACAAACTAGCAGCCGAAATCTGAGAATTTCCGGATGCCCGAAAAATTGAAAATATTTTATATCTTTGTTTAAAGAAAACTTACTAGATTTTAAGCTCGCTACGCACATACATTCCATATAAAACATTCATATGTGCCGTTGTTGTGTTTGCTTCTGTGCTAAAAACCCAGAAAACTGAAATTTTCAAGCTATTAAAAAGTGATGCTGCACTGTTCTCACATGAGAGTGTATACTATAAGCTTTCAGAAATACATCAGTAGTTTTTCAGCTTCCTGGAACGGCTAGTTTCCGAGAAATATTGAATTCAGCTCATTTTGCTAGAAGATTTTATACTAAATTCAATATTTCTCGGAAAGTAGCGCTTCCAGGAAGCTGAAAAATTACTGATGTATTCTCATGTGAAAACAGTGCAGCATCGCTTTTTTTGGAGGCTTGGAAAACTTAGTTTTCCCGGTTTCTAGCACAGAAACAAACACAGCAACGGCACATATGAGTGTCTTTTATGGAGTGTATATGCATGAGCGAGTTTAGAAGTCTTCTTTGAACAAAGACATAAAATATCTTCAATTTTTCGGGGCATCCGGAACTCAGATTTTGGTAGTTTATGATGTGCTGAAGCTGGTGTGAGCACATAAACACCATTTTATAGAGCTTGCTTTGCTTTATCGAACGCTACTATGCATTCTTTCCAGAATTGAGAATTTGGGACTTATTACGGTAAAACGTCAAAATTGAATTAACTTATGAGACAATCTGATAGAAGGTGGCTTTGTAGCTGTAACCAACCTACGGAACAGGTTTTTTCATTTTTTCAGTTTTTCTCCTACCAATATAAGTGAAATTAAAAGCCGTTCTAGTTAATAATATTTATTTATTTATTTATTTATTTATCAAATACATCGTAAACGATGCACCACCCCAAAATTGAAATACAAACAGACGATTGATATAATGTTGGTTTGCGTACAAAAAGTGGCTTTTCGGATAATTTCTTTCAGGACGGGGCAGATTACCGTGATTTTCTAAGATTTTATAGCTAAGGCCAGCATTAAATAGATCACTCATAAAATAGCGACAGAGGCGACGGCCGCTCGGTGGCCTATGCAGTTTCGACAATCGCATTTTCTTTGCCTTTACCTCTTTTTGAAGCATTCTTTGCATGTTTATGCTAGCTGCTGAGTTTGGAGTGGCTAGCCTCGCAGTCGAATTCGTCGTCACGACTTTATAAATGCCTTAAACATATTTTTGTAGGCAAGAACACAGCTGAGAACGAAAAATGTTAGTCAGAACGAATAAAAGTCTATCAGTGACAGATTTCAGAATACTGTTGAATATGGTTCACGTTGTAAATCTGGTGAGCCAGGCCCGCAAAGCTGCAGATTTTTTCAGCGAATTTGTTTATTTTCATGGTCATTTGAAGACGAAGCGACTGCAAAGCGCAGAAAAAAATTGCCATTCTTCGCCTGCTCGTGCAGTTAGTCAGATCACCGGCTTAGACATAACGATCTGATTCTAAAAGCGGTTTACAGCAAGCGCAATTGAATGTCGATTGATGTGCCATTTCCTCTCCGAAGGTATTGTAGGCGGTTCTAGTATTAGAATTGAGTATAATCACAAAAAATTTCATGAAAGCGGTAGTCCAATTGCAACATGTGGTTCACATTGGTTAGTGGGCAATTATTGCTTGCGCGAAACTTGGGCTAGGGTCATACTGATCCGGAAGTTCTGGTGGAGTTCCAATGTACTGTGCTAGACTGTGCTGCATGCGCTGCTGCCACCCCTTGGGGTTTTGAGCGGCGCGAATCAGCAGTTTTTGACTTTCTTGAACGGTAATTTATCGTATATCTTGCCCATTTTCGTCTCATTCTTACACCTTTATGTTAGCAGCTCATTTTGAAGTGGCTAGCCTCGCAGTCGAAGTCGTCGTTACGACTGACTGCGTAGCAAGTGGTACCCGGGCAGCCGACTGCTACCGCAGCCAGCCGTCGGAGCTGCAGCAGTCAGCAGTCGCTGCAGTTGGTAAGTAATTATTCTCGTCGTCTAAAATTGCAGAGACGTTTGCTAGCACCTCGTTGCGCTGAGGTGCAATATCAGGTATAGGGTGATATTCTTGATAAATATATCATTTTGAATGACGAAAAATTCGTATTTGAGAACCATACAAATAAACAAAGCAATACGGAGGTGACTTTTCCAGAGGATGATGATTACAAAATCAAATCAACTAGAATACTCAAAATAAACAGGAGCCGAAAAATTCAGGAAATCTCTAGTTTCCAAGAATTTTTTTTGCAACGTGAGAGAAAAAAGTTGTAGAAAAACACTAGGAAAAGCCTGTCAATACTAGTATCAATACTAGTATTTTATGAGTTAGTGATGCTGAGCGAGCTGAATAAGCTAAAACAGGCAAATAAGTTGAGTGCATCAATGATAAAAGGTAAATATGCCACGTGTGCTGATATAGGAACAGCGTAACCAAGATCAACTGTCTTCATTCTATACAGTTGCCAGAAAGAAACTCAGGTTCAAGCTGAGTGGAAAATTTATCACCTCTTCAGATTTGAGAAGATGAAAATCAATAATGGAAAAAATTGAGGATCCAGAACTCGTTGCAAAGTAAAAAATGATCCAAAATTGAAAAGAAACACCCTTAACAACCGCTTACACAAAAACATATTTCGAATTTCAAAGTGTTCATGGAAAATCGAGTAAAACTCCAAAAAGCTATAATCAAACGTCCTTGAAACAGCGTCAATAAATCAGCACTGTATTTTGATGTCAAAATTTGTAACAGGAAAAATTTATTTGATTTCCTGTTCATAAATTTTTGTAAGCATTTGTAAATTTTTGGAAATATTCTGGTATAGTTTTGTATACAAATGCATGCTTCTCATTGTGATATAGATTTTCTGCTGTTCAAAATTATACAGTGCTGGCCAAAACTATAGATCCACTTCGAAAACTGCCGTAACTCATCTGCTTCTCAACGAATTGTTCTGAGATTTGGTATAGCTGTGTGTTTAACAGGCTTCTATCAGTGACCGGAGCGGATCCCGCTTTCGTTCAATTATTAAGGAAAAAATCAAAGATCTTGAAAAAAAGCAGGCTTGAAGGTTGGTCATAACTATAGATCCACCTAGAGTTTCTGTCCACTAAAGTAGCTCTCGGCTCCCAAAGTCTTTTGTGCATATACATAGTCAAAAGTCAAAACAGTCGTTTTAGTCCAGCTGTGTCATACCTTTATAAGAAACGCTTATCTGCTTTTTTTGCATAAAAATACTTTCATGTGTATTTTGTTACCGAGAACGTATTTTTGTAGGTGATTCCGCAGCTTTTTTCAACTTGTTTGGAAGCGATAGGGCTTCATCTATCTTATAGATGCCTAAAGAAGTGAGCACTAGAAAAAAAACTCAAGTTTTCGTATTCAAAGCGCACCCGACGTAGACCTAAACGCAGGTCTGCGCTCAAATTTATGCCTTCAAACTTTTCCTGCAATGTTATCATGAGCGTGAAACGAAGTAATGACATTGTTTGTACATATGAGGGTCTGTATGCAGGGTTGCAGATTGTTGCATGTTTTAGCATTCAGGCTAATTGAGGAATTTATCCTGCAAAAACTGATTAGCAACAAGCTTTGAAGGTATTTTTGGTTCTGATCATAATGCTCTTGTGAGTCAGAGGCAAACATACAATACAGGGTGTTTTCAGTATTTGGCAGCTTAGTAGTTGCAAAAAATTAGGAAAGGCACCACTTGATAAGTATTTTGGGAATGTCTTACATTATCATTGAACCGCGAAAGATGTGCCTCGTTTACGAAGCAAAGTGCGACTTCGCGAACAATCGTCATTATAGTGTATATTTTTCTTTTTATGTAAATAATGTATCCACATTATTTAGAGCTTACAAACATAGCGTAAGCCTAATTTTGAAGGTAGAAATTTGAGCGCAGGCTTGCTATGAGGTCTATGCTATGTGCGCTTCAAATACGAAAACTCAAATTTTCTTCTAATGCTCACTTCGCTAAGCATCTATAAGTCAGATGGAGACCTATCGCTTCCATCGCTTCCAAACCAGTTGGAAAAACTGCGGAAACACCCCTAGAAACATACTGTCGGTGACAAAATACGCGTGAAAGCATTTTTGAGTGAAAAAAAGCAAATAAGAGTTTCTAATAAAGATATGACGCAGCTGAACTGAATCGGCTGTCTTGACTTTTGATCATGTATATGCACCAAAGATTGTGGAAGTCGAGAATGACTTTGGTGGACAGAAACGTTAGGTGATCTATAGTTTTGGCCAGCTTTCAAGCCTGCTTTTTTCAAGAAATTTTGATTCGTTCCTGAACCATCAAATGAAAGCGGGAATCGGTTCTGGTTACTGATAGTAGCCTGTTAAACACACCGCTATGCCAAATTTCAGATCAATTCGTTGAGAAGCAGATGAGTTACGGCAGTTTTCAGAGGTGGATCTATAGTTTTGGCCAGCACTGTATATCGAGGATATCACCCTGTCACTGAGGCTAGTATCTCACCTCAGCGCAGCGAGGTGCCTCTCGGCAAGACTTTAACGAGATTGGCGGCTGGAAGACACGGCTTCGAGGCTTGATCAAGGCTAGGGCCTGATCACAGAGCACGTCCGCATAGAGACGCAGATCGTCGGTTCGAGCATCGCCTTCCAGCCGCCAGTCCTGTTCAGTCAAAAGGTATGTGTGCAAAGCCTATTTGGATAGGTCAGAAATGGTATTTTCTATTCGAGTCTTACATACGCACATGCATGCGCACACAGATATAGACATTCAGCTTTATACATAAGACGCTTTAAACCCGAGACAAGATCATTTGGGGTAGAGGATATGTCGCCTATGGCCCCATCCGCGCAGGCAACGAGGAAACAAAGCCTCCAACCCAAAACTTCAGTAGGACATTGTTTTCTTGTAGACAAGTTCCTTACGACTTATAGTCCATTGTCATTTGCAACCTGCACTAATGATAAGATTCCGTCACCTAGATATATCCGAGTAATCTTATATTCAGTATTAAAAGTACGCACAAATTAAGATTTACTCCGCTTGTCAACACGCATTTTTTCAGGTGTGCTTTCAAATGTTGCGGGATAAGGGCATCCCGCCTGTTCCCAAGCCCAGTGGGTGTTTCCTTGCTTGTTCAATCATCTTGCATATTTTTACAAAATTTTTTGTTTGATTTAGCTGATGGCAGCTTATGGTGCAATGCCACTTATGACACAGTATTATGCTGGCCGCCGACGCCGGCAAACACGAGCATTGTGTTGCCATGCCCACTTCTTAAAAGACTGGTTCCGACACGTAAGTGACTTTGTAAGAATTGTAAAAATTGTTCTTGTTAAACAACAATGGAGAAAAAAATTTCATGTTGTCCTTTGCTGTTTCCGTTTTTTGCGTCAAGTATTGTCGTTTATATGTTTTTTTTCTTGATTTTTGATTTTAGTGCTATGGATTAGCTAGTATTAGCTCTTGTGTTAATTATATTAGTAGCTGCAGTATCCTTTAGGGAAACTTATTATCTTTTGTCATGTCCTGGAAAGTAAAGTAGAAGTAGTTACATCTTTATTTTTACTGAAAATTTATCCTGCATCAGCCAATGAGAGGAGAAGCTGGCACCTTGTTGACGCATTTTGAGTTTTTGAAGAATTTTAAAGTACTGTCCCACAAAATGTACCCTAATTTCGCGCATATAAGGCGTGGGAGATTTTTTTCCAAAATCGACCAGCCCAGACACGCCAAAGGACTTTAAACCAAAGGACCTTATAACGTGCTGTATATTGCTTGAGAAAATCGCGAGATGCAAGGATTTCTTTCCGGGATGCAGTGAACCGGTTGAGAGCTACTCGCTTGATAATTCGAAAAAGTGCGCCTTATACGCGTGAAATTAGGGTAATAAAGTCGTTAGGTGTGTCAGGTGTGCGGTGAAAATCTTGCTCAGATTATCGACAAGTATTAGGGTGTCCCATAATTTTTTACCGTTATTACTACAACCCTCGTCTTTTTGTATCCTTCCTGCAACTGATGTGGCTTGAGTAGTCATTCGACAGGGGACACATCGAACATTCAAGTGTACACTTTCCAAATCTTTTCCATGTCTAGAATTAAACAAAAAATGAATGGAGTAAAATGACAAATTCTGCCCTTAGCCGTCCCTCCCAAGCACGTGATCATATAGCTCATACTCTTTAAAAATGTTGATGTTTAGGTAAAAACGATAAAAAATTATGGGACACCCTAATACTTCTGCTTTTCAAAGTCACGCAACAGCTATCTCTTATTGCATATCTCTTTAATCATATAATAATTATGTTTGCCGACAGCTAGCCAACCTTACCGAATGACACATCATGTAAAATGAGTATCATGCTTACGAACGCTTCCACCGGCTTCTTGAACGTCAGAAGATCAAAAGATCTCTAGTTTCGGAGTGTGTATTGTAAAGTTACAATTTCTGTTCTTGAATCTTGAGATTTTATCTTATACTCTTGCTCGATATATTGCTTCGCATGTTTTGCTGTCGTAATAAAAAGGGAAGATTCAGCTATGATATAGTACTATTAGGTTGGCAATAAATAAGTTCGTTTTGACATGCAAATTCAAAGCTTCATAACAATTCACGTAACAGCTATTTAGCCAAGATTTCTTCGTGAGCAGATAGCCTCAAGCCTCTACTCTTAGACATTGAATAGTCAAGATTTTGTTTTAGCAAAAAAGGCAGTTATGACCTTATATGGTCAAACTTCTTAAAAATCGCTTTTTTGACTTTCTCAGTTTCGTTCTTAGCCTGCAGTGAGTACACAGGCGAGCAATTTGGTGGCTAGGTACATACAACCTCTGGCTAGGTGGCGAACCGCAATATAGATTGTGACCTGCTGTTTCTGAATTTCTGCAGTCAAAATTGTGTAAATTTTCAGGCATTTGCGCGCGAAGGTCAAATTTTGGGCATTCCAGATAACTCGAATTTGGCCATCTATGGTCATGCAAATGGCTGGAAATTCAAAAATTTGCTCTGTCGGTAGCGAATCTACACTTTACACCTGACTTTAGTTCGTTTTTCGGAACGTGATTTTTCGAAATTTTGTGGAAAAAATCGGACCAATTTTTTTTCCTCATCATTTCATTATCAGAAAAATCAACTTTGAGAAAACAGAGTTCACCTCCCGATTCTCCTTGATTTGCTCTTTCCAGTGGTACCATATATATACACGAAAACTGATTTGTGACAATTCTACAAACCGCTAAAAACGACCGAACTTATTTTTTAGCCAGCCTAATATATTGCGTGCTTTTGTTTTCTAACCCACTTTTAGTATTTTATTATCCGTGTGATGCGTTCTACCTCTTCAACCATTTTCCTGGAAAGAGGCAGAATGTTTGCACATGCCGTTGTTTCCAGTATATTTTCGATAGTGGTTTCAGGTCAAGTAGAAAAGTCATGCGACCGATTTGGTCGTTGGGCCGGAAAACACGAAGGTGTATACGAGAATCCGTGGGGTTGGACGAATTTCACCGGATGCTTTAGAATGGACTTCGAAAACGTGAAAGTACGCAAATGACACTACTACCATGCTTACTTTTACGCCTTTAACACAAAATATCTACGCTCTGCTTTCGTTGCTGCTCCATATTACCGAGATGCTGCCCCTCAGCCCCATCACCCTCGCTTCCTAGGCTCATCCATCGGTCACATACTGCACCCAATCAAGCACCAACACTTAGCACACTCACATGTTGTTCGCCGCATGGCTTTGCTTGTTGCCCCTTGCTTGTTCTCGCATGCTGCTTTTACTTTGTTCAAGCTAATTATCCGTTTACTCTTCTCTATCTGCAACGTTTTCACGTCATGTGCCTCCGTCAAAAGGTGTCTAACCGAAATACTGTTGCGTTTTCTTATATCATCAAAGTCTCAAGCCATTTTGGCATTAACACATCCGCTGGAGTTTTTTTTTTGGTTGTTGGAATTAGAATGAGTGATTGGAAACTGAAACATTCATTAAGTAGATTTTGAGCTAGATTATATCAATGGCTCCTTAGTATGAATGATTATTCAAACGGAGTGGAAGACAGCTCTATGGCTGCAATGTAGTAGACTTACTAAATTGGCTCGAAAGTTCTCGATATTACAATTAGACAAAGGGTTTCGATGCACTGTTATATGCACAGCCTGCCCCAAACAGTTCACTGATTGAGACAGTGTGCACGTTGTTGGATAGAGGAAAGCAATCTTTACAAATTCATGGCAAGCACGAACATCATCAATGTTTTCTTAAAAATTCGGGCAAAAACTCCAAAGCATAGGATTTTAACCTAACCCAGATCTCCAAGTTCTATGAACTTTATTACATGCTCAAATTTATAGTTTACACATACTTACATACTTTCATGCATAGCTTGCGTGGAATTTGAGCTTGAACAATAACAAAAATGAGGTAATCGTTAGGCTCCAGGCTCCTTCCTCTTGTTCTCGTGTTCTCTTGCTCAAATACCAGCAACACATGCTAGGAAGAGTACACTGCAAATTTTAGGGATGTACATGCATCAGGTTTTGAGAAATAGCAGATTTGATCTGGAATTGTCCGAAAACTTTCTGAGTCAACCCAACAGTTTATCGGGACTTTCTTGACCGCTGCGTCATGATTTCAGGGTTTAATTCTACTGAGTTAGCGCCGATAATATCCCATGAAACAGCCGCTTCACTTTCTCATCTTTTGTAATATTGTAGGAGACTATGAGCTGACCAACCACAAAACGGGCAGGAATTACACAAAATACAGGTCGTCCCGAAAGTTATTCCCGTTTTTTCGACTTGTCATGGAACACGCGGAATATTGGGCAACAAATTCAACGACTATTCGACGCCATTTTTTTTCATTTTAACAGTCATGCTTCCATAGCATTTCCTTTCGTAGTCATCAAACTAATCGCCGAAACTGCGAACCCATGTCTTGCCACACCCAAGTCTGGCAATTAAAAAATTTTTGGATTCTCTCGTCTGGGAGACTTGTGATAGCAAATGGATAGAGAATGAAGTGCAGTACAACAAATTTTTTGGGCTTCTCTGAGTAGCTTTCCACTATATGCCAAGATGATTTTTCCTAAAGGCTTCATTTATGCAAAGTCTAACGATACCCTATCATCAAACGCTGGACTCTCCAGAGCCTAACTGTGTCAAAACTCTGTTGTCATTCAACGCTAGTTTTATAAACAAGTGAGCTTTCACCGCTTCGAGATAGAATTCTGAAATTTGGGATATAGCGGTAGGCGCGGCCAAAGACTCACAATTAAGATGATTTCATCCGCAAAGGTTCCACAAATTGGGAAGGGAAAACGCCTATCAGAAACAGGAGAAAGAAGCTGCATTGAACAATATTCGAGTTGCTTATCGGTTGATGTTTTGTAAGAGTTGGCTTGACCAGATGTGGAATTTGTGAAGATCAGAAAAATAATTCTAGTAACTCTGAAAAGCTAGCTGAGGATGGCAGTAAAAATTTATAGTGTTGCCCTCTGCTCAGATAACCGCAGGGGGCAGGCGGCCATGCGAATTTTGAGCAAGCGCGCACCGGAAAAATAGTTCGCTGATTTTTTGCGGCCCGCTTGCAGAAATTTGGAAGAAAGTTGGCAAAATTAAAGACGAATGCTTGAAGAACAATCGCGGTTCCTTGTGGATTAGCTGCGGCGCAGCGGCCGCATTCTCGCGGACTTTCCGCGAGAATATGCAAAAATTTCGGGGGCCGCACGGTCCTTTGTGGAGGACCGCGCAACCCCTAGGCACTTTCCGCTGAGAGAAAGTACCTCAAACTTGAGTAATTAAACCAACGGTGACACCTCTGCCACACAGAGTCTTACCTGCGCTCGACGTACGCCCGAAAATGCCTAAAAAGAGTTCGAGCGCCTGTTGAAAGTTTGGCCAGCGCTCGCTGAAAGAAATTATTTGCCGAGCGCTTGCAAAAAATGCTGTATTGCTGCCCGCTGGCAGAATATGCGACCGTAAAGGAAGTGCCGCCCGCTGAAGGTTTGGCCACGCCCCAAAATTCTGCTGACCGCCTGCAGAAAAGCGCGAGTTTGCGGACCGCCTGCCCCCGGCGATTATCTGAGTGTTTGCTCTATCTAGCTGTAATCATAGCTCCCCCGGAATTGTAATGCACAAAAACTGTTGCATTCAACATTCTGTATTTATCCTAGTAATCACAAAGCAAGTAGTCTCAAAAAATTACTGCCTGGAAAGACGAAGAATTGCGTCGAATGTCAAATGTTTGACCATCTTTATACCACGTGTTTTTATGATAGGTCAAAAAACGGAAAGAAGTTTTGGAACAACCTAACAGGAAGGTCTCGCTCCATGCTGGCGCCTTCAGTAAATTTACGATTTTAAACCCAGAGAGTTCGCCAAATGTTTGAGAGCGCTTTATCATCGTCCTAAGTTAAAACTAAAGTCAACGTTTTCGGGGTCTTAGGTCAAAGCTAAAACCTTTTCGACTAAGCTCTACTGTAAATGCTTCCCAACTCAGTTCTCCCTTTGTGGAGGTAAAGAAGCGGCGAGTTTAAATGATAACGAAAAAGGAGCTATAGAACAGTATGTTTTATGCGTCCGCTCTATAGCCGTGCATACATGAAGAAAGGGTTTTGTTCTGTCAACTTGAGAATAATCAAAGTAGATGTCAAACATCAATATCAACAAACAATTATTCAACAATATAAAATTAGTGTTTCGGACAAAGATCTATTTGTATTAGGCCAGAAATTTTTGCCCTAATGTTTACGGTGTGCAATTTCTTTCACGGCCTTAGCTTTGTTGTAGTTCATGTTCCCTCAAAAACTGACAAGGAACGCATGGTCCTCAAAAGAATGAGATAACCCCTAGTGGAAATACTACATGATAAAAACAACAATAAGACAACACTACATAATCTTGCTAGCTTGTTAAATTTTATTCAACTCCAGCGGATTATAAGCTAGCGCCTAACATGGCTTCAACAAAGCTCTTCCAGTTTGCGCTTTGCGTAGCCATACAGAAGGGCTTGTACATGTATATGCTGATTGCATGTAAGAGATCAGTGGCCAGCTTTAGGAAATATTGCGAAGAAATGCCATTGGACCGGAAATTGGCAAGGACGAACCGAGAACGATTTTGCTAGAGATCACGGATGGACGAATTTTACTATGTGCTACACGGATGAAGTCATCTACATTATGAATAATCTCAACAACGAGTCGCTCGGGGTCAGGCACTGGCACATGTGTTATGTCTATTCTTTCTAGATTAAGATGCTTATAACGTTGCCTTCTTGCTAAGTCCCAAATCACTATCCAGTATTGGAATTCACGGTGCAAGCACAATTACTGCAGAATCTTAAGTTTTGAGACTCAAGAAACTGCGCGATTTGTGAAGTTCCTCTCGCATACCGCCTTACAGCTTGAAGGCGGCGTTAGCTATGACGGTAAAATATGCAATCACGACGAAATCAGTGACAGTATGGCAGTACGGTATCACCTTGACCGATAGAGGAAAGATCTCTTTGCAAACTCTTAGTGCCAGTTTTGACATGCGCTCCCATTCGTTACGTAATAACGCATTGCCGTCATTCACTCTTATTTCTTTTCTTTTCGCTCACCGCTCTTCTAACTGCCTGCTTAGTTTCGTCTTTCTCTCAATACAACTCATTCACCAAGCTACTTTCGAGTCCCTTTCTTCTTTAACTACCTGATTTATTTTTTAACCTCTTCAATCACTCGCTAATGCAACCCGCATGTATGCTTTTCAAAAGCCGGGGCTGAAATAACAAAGCTTGCGTTTTGCGCTTCATGCTAACATAATAGTCAGCTACGTCGATGTGGTGGTGAAAACGTCGTTTGAGGTCCCTAGTTCCGGTCCTGAAAATTTTGTTTTAAACGACGTTTTCAAGCTATTGAGACATACTGACAACATGACATGGTCGGAGGCACTTTGATCATTTTTAGATTGCTCAAGAAGTGGCGAAAAATGCACGTAAACTCGAATTTGTTGGATTAGGTTTGTCCCTTGTGAGCCTTATTGTGTCAATTGCGATATTTTCCTACTTTCGGTGAGTTTCAGTTCCTTGCATAGCGATGACTCAAATTTGAGGTGCTGTTGCAGGCGGTTGCGGGTTTTTCGCAATATGCTGCATTTACATTTGATGATCGCGATTCTGATGGTGGTCATTATTAGACTCGTGCTGTATATTGACTTAATATTCACTGGAAATCAAAGTCCTCATCAAAGTCCGTCAGACGGAAAAACTATAAACACAATGGTAATTACTGTCAGTTTGTCCGCACCTACGCTCATCACCTTTTTAAGCCAATCGTATGTGAAGCTATGTATTTCTTGCTGGAGTACTTCAAAACGGTAGCATTTGGTTGGATGTTCCTAGAAGGTTTCTATTTACATAACCAATTGGTGCTCACTGTTTTTAACTCTGAGCCGCGGCTTACGCCATACCTATTGGCTGGATACGGCAAGTTATCGTTTCCATTATCAATTTTTGACTCGTCGAAGACCGGCTTTTTCAGGTATTCCTGGCGTTCATACGCTGATTTGGCTACTTGTAGTGCTGATAAAAAAAGACTTCAAGGTGAACATATCGAGAAAGTTTTTGAGGACGTTTGGAAAATCATCTCATTGCAGGTAGAGCGGTGCCTAGGCTCGTATTATCTGGAACCGGAGTTCTGGATACTTGACGGTCCCCGAATGGCAGAGCTTGTGGTAAGCGTAATAGTTCAAAGAAACAAAAAGGTTGTGTAACGTTAATTTTCAACAATGTATTCTTCACTTTTACTTTAAGCAAATTGAGGTGTAGTTAGACATTGAGTTACTAACCCATGACATACCTCTGCGTATATCTAATAATTGGCTTCGATACTAACCTTTTCAATAAAACTCAAAGAAGGCATTTCAAGTAGCATTATTGTTGTCAATTCATTCAATAAGCTCTAGGCGTTCCACATGAAGAAATGAGAGAATACAATGCAAATCAATATACACTATTTGATAAAAAAAATCAAACAGATCATCACGCCAGTTGAGTTGGAATCAGTTCTCTAGGCTGGTAAAAGGGTAGTAAGGGACAGCCTGCATGGACGATGGTTATATAAATATAGGCTTTGGCATGAACATGTGCGGAGAAACAGCACTATGAACTAGACAATATCAATGGAGATGGTCCCCATGCCCCCTCGTTTGCCAGCAAAAACGATCTTAAACTTTTCAAAAAGAGCAATTGAAAACTTGGCTGTCGCTAGCAAACAGTATGGCCAGCCATGCTTTAACCACTCTTCTGGGAAGGGTCCCAATGATCCAATGAAAGAGTATACTGTTCCATGTTGTAAACAGGGTCAAGCAAGAGATGTGGCACACGATCGCTGATTACGACCCCCCCCCTCTTATTGCTGTAATAAGACCCCCTGAACTATTTACCTAGGATAGCATTACTTGAAGGCCCTGTCAAACATAACGGGCAACATATCCATAATTAACATGCCAATTAACCCTGTAGACAATGTTTGACCGAATTCTGAAGTTTCAAGATACTGTGTCACCTAAGTTAAATCGCCATTTTCAGTATGATTAACTTCGTTTCAGGTGAAGTGGCTAGCTGTTTTTGCACTCAAGACAAAGCACTACTCCTTCTTTGACCAATTCAGAAATCTTGCTTCAAAAAACCTTCTAACCTTGAAATTAGAAGCCAATCAAAATCTTGTTTTCCTATTTTTCGCTTTTAATGGCTGTGCTTTCACCAAATAATATTCAGAGCAAAGAAGACGAAACAGACTCAAATCATTCCTATGAGGTTTACGAGGACAGGCCATCGATTTATGTAAATACGTCCGCTAAAAATGTTTTTTTATATAGTTAATGGGGTGTGGCACCACCTCTGAAAAGCTGCGGCTTTAGGGGTGGTGCAACACCCCATTAACTTAATTCAGACAGATCAAACAGCTGCGTTTTTTATATCGTTGTTACTGCTTAACCCTCTTCTCTACGTAGCAGAAATTCCATGCAAGAAGCTTCTTCAAGAACAAAATATGGCCTTTCCTCACCTGTGCACATGTAAAATATTGGTAAAATACTGCGAAAATATTGGGATGTAAAATACTGGTAACGTGCTAAGTCTTTACTACGTGAATCACAAGGGAAGGCGACAAGAATGTATACATTCGATAGCCTAAGCCTCGTAATCTACATTGAAGTGATTTGAGCGCGATTGGTCTTCTCTAGCTTGAGATATCAAAAACGAAAAATGGAACAAACGAGATTTTGGCTTGCTCTTAATTTCTTAATTTGGAGCTCATCTGAAGTAGGATCCCTAATGTGAGCAAAGAAATAGTAGTTCTTTGTATTAAGCGCAAAAAGTAGTTAACATACCTTTGAAACAAAGTAACATGTTTGCAAATGACCATTCCACTTAGATGGTCCTGTGTTTGGAAACCTCAGAATTCGCTGAAACTTGGACCACAGGGGTTATTTTACTTGCTAATCACAAAACGATGGTCTTATGCTTTATAAAACTATGATTATGCTTACTGTATGTGTGCGATAATGGGTCAAACATCAGTGTGCTAGTATTTTGCTCTAATTTCTCACAAGGGGATGGTCAAAAATCGAAGTGGCCAATCCAGACAAGCTGCACACCATTAGATGCAGCATGAAGCGCTGACTCTAAATCTGTCTTCCTTATTTGCTTATCGCTTTTCTGGACGAAGCTATAAGCCATTAAAGGCCATTATTTTACTAAGAAATTATGCGTGAAAATGAAAATTCAGCCATACAGAGCCACAATCGGCTCAATGCTAGGCCAAAATATGCAGCTAACTTAATTCAAATTCTTAAAACCTAAAGCTGAGCTATTAGGTTGTCAAGAAAATAATGTCGTTTTTCATTTGCTTGCTTTAACAAAACATCAGGACTCAACCCAATAAAGGGTAATGGGTACTGTTCGATAGAGCAAAGCAAGCTCTACAAGATGGCACTCATGATTTTGCGCCAAGCTCGATTCACGGAAAGTTTGAACTCAAAATCTGAAGATTTCTAAATGCCCAAAAAATCGAAAAAAATCAGATCTTCGTACAAATAATTTCTACGGACCTCCCTCTCACACACGTCAATACTTTCGATATCTCATATCCATATGTGCAGGTGCTGTACTTTTTCCTTGACTAGAAACTGAGAAAACGAAAATTTTTGTGTTTTTCTAAAAGCAATGCTGAGCCATTCTTGCATATGTGGTTCTATACTATTAGCCTAGGTAAGTATAACTATAGATTTTCAGCCTATTTCGAACGGTAGTTTTCGAGAAATGTCGCTTTTAGCACTGAAACTGAAAAGAAGAAAGCTGATTTCGATATTTCTTGAAAACTACTGCTCGAAATGGGCTGAAAATCTAAAGATATACTTACCTAAGCTTGTAGTATAGAATCACATATGCAAAAACGGCTCAGCATTGCGTTTAGAAGAACACGAAAATTTTCGTTTTCTCAGTTTCTAGTCAAGGAAGAAGTACAGCACCTGCACATATGGATATCAGATATCGAAAGTGTTGACGTGTGCGAGTGGGAGTTCCGTAGAAATTATTTGGACGAAGATCTGATTTTTTTCGATTTTTTGGGCATTTGGAAATCTTCAGATTTTGAGTTCGCACTATCCGTGGATCGAGCTTGGCGCAAAATCATGAGTGCCATCTTGTAGAGCTTGCTTTGCTCTATCGAACAGTACCCATTACCCTTTGTTGGATTGAGTCTGGTTGCTTTGTTAAAACAAGCAAATGAAAAACGACATTATTTTCTTGACAACCTAATAAAAGTGATGTGTTCAATTTTGCTGTTTTTGTGTACGATTTTTTCACAACAAAACTGCTTGTAGCTTCGTCCACAGAAGCGACAAGCAGATAATGAAAACAGATTCGAAGTCAGCGTTTTATACTGCATCGAATGATATACAGCTTGTTTGGTCTGGCCACTTCGACTTCTGACCATTCCCTTGCCAGTACGACCCCGCCCTCCCCCCCCCCCCCCAGGTGTGGCATGGCACACCCAACGCTTTACCCTGGTTGTAAGTTTGATTTAGCAAGCTTCACCATAGCTTTGGCTGAGAGAAGTATACTTGACTTGAACTAACATGGTGATAAAATCGGAGCTAGTAAAAACTATCGAAGAAACCACTAACTTTTAGGTCAATCTCTTTTTCATTTGTAATGTGATACGAGTATTGTGGTCAAAAGTTCGCGAGAGTCACAGCACCAGCGAACTTGAAAAAATGAAGTGAGTACTAAATTTCTAGCAGCTGAAATAATTGAATGAAAGCCTCATCAAATTTAGAAAAAGCGTTAAAGCTGCCTTAATGCTTATACCTTTGCTTGGCATACCGAACATCATGCAAACGATACCGTTTGCACCAACAAGGGACAATATTACGGTAATAACCCTTGGTTCTAAGATTTACTAAATCTTCCCTTCCAGATATTTGCCATATGGACCTATCTTGCCTCGTTTACGTACATGTATCAGGGCCTTATGATTACAATCATTTACTGCTTCACGAATAAAGAGGTATTTGCATTTTTTTAAGACTCTCATCTTTCAATCGGAGTTCATTTCTAGGTGAATATGGTTTTGAAAACGTTCTATGATCGGTATAGGCTGCAGCATACAAGCCAACATGAATTGAGAAGAGGCTCACGTTCTATAGCATCTCATTATCAAGCACGAAATGGACAAATGACTGGGGTATGTATTTTGGGGTGTTTTCTTTCGGCATGTTAAGTTTGTCGAACTTTAATGCAACAAAATGATCTTTGGAAACTTGTTAAGACTGAAGAATGATTATAGGTGACAATCGCGACAGACAACAACAACTCCACTTTGTCTCCGTACAGTCAACGATCTGAGAAGGGTAGCGGCGATTCAACGACTAAATTGATGTTGAGCGTGCCGGTGCGTATACGTGCTTGTGACATGGTAATATTGATATTAGTAAAATATTGAATGCATGCATAATAGCATGAGCAATGCCACATCATTTGTCTAACATGTCTGAGTGGTTTTGTTTCTGATTAGGCCACCTTGTTAGGTTTTGTCGTTGCTTTGTTGATCTCGTTTTTATTCAGCAATGCGGTGATGAGATTGTAAATAATAATGGCTACGAAGCTGTTAGTGAACGAACGCCCCTCAAAACGCAATGTGATTGCACAGAAGAGATACGGTGGGCCTGATGTACTAATAATTGAGTTGTGCTGTTATCGCCACCCTCAACATTCCTGAGAATCTTTGTTTTGACCTGTTGCATAACCAAGAGGTCATCATTCACAGCCGCAGTTATGCAGCAATTCAAAGTCTTCCCTTTCTCGCAAATGCTGCATGTGCTTTCATGAGTTTTGCAATTTGCTTAATGGCTTCGTCTTATTGTTCTTTCAAGAATCTCTTATGTATCCATTTTTAGGACAACACCGATGATTAATGGGCAACACGTTGCCTAGCCTTCGAAATCCACTTTTAGATATAATTTCTCATCAGCGCTCGCCAGTTGATATTCATATTCTCTCTGAACAAAGATTCGCTTCAAACTGTAGGTCAAAGTCATCGTTATCTGTTTCGTTTTTTCTCTTGTATATTCATTAACGGTGAAACCGGTACGGGTCATTGATTTCATGGAAATATACATGTTCTGATTATTTTGTTGTTCGCATTGTTCAATAGAGTGGTATAATTTTTCTTCAATCTTTTTGTCCCAGTAGTTTTCTCATGGTCTGCTTGATGACGAATAATCTTGTTGAAGCTCATGCCACATTACAATGCCGCTCATAAAGTGATTATTAATTGGTTTCGCATACTTGACGTCCAAGTCATCTCTTTCATGCTTGCTAAGGGTTGAAGTCAGGTTACGTTTTGTTGACGATTTAGTGTTTACTTTTTTGATTTTTGGTGTATCTAAAATTTTGATTCTAACCGGAATATAATGCTTGTTTTGCAAAATTAAGAAAATCTGACCTGACTTCATACTGATGCATCTGCTGTCTGTATGTTACTGCTGACTTACGATATCTTGAACTAGGCAAAGTTGACTCTTTCGTGTTTTGTAGCCCATCGTACTCGAACTAGTCATAATCATGTGCAAACTTCCGACGATTGAAGTTGCTTGATAGTATGTGACTGCTTCAACCTGCGGCATTTTTTACTCGTTATCAAAAACAGAAATAATAAAGAGATTTATGAATTGATGTGAAGTAATCATTCTTTTCTACATCGTACATGTCTAATACGATGGATGCACACGCGACAAAAAGTTGTTTAACAATTGGGTTTCAAACTCGAATAAGCTTCATGTGAAGGAAGATTCGTCTGTAAAATGGTTAACATAGCCTTGTTTTCAGCAAAATAGTTTGAGATGCTTTGTTTTGTTAAAAGGCTTTCGTTCTTTCTCGTTGTGTCCGCGATTACAACAAATATAAGGGAAAAAACTTTGTTAGGAAGGTTTAAAAATAAATTTGAACATGACAGAAATACCTGAAAAGGGGCAGAGGTGGACGCAAATATATGTTAAACCTCGATTTCATACAGTTAGCCTTATGAATTGGAGAGTGCGATAATATATGACAATATTTGAGGCTTACCTCGATTGCATCAATAGTCAAAATAATGGCAAGAACAGCCTTTTGACTGTGAGTGTCATGCATAGTTCTCAATCTTCTTTTCTGCTTCGATGATACTACTCGAAAAGGAACATGTCGTACGCGTAGGAGAAGCACGTTGTATTTTGTCTTGCGTTAGCTAATTTCATCATCTACTATGGCGCATAGGGCATACAGCTTCAAAGAGACTGCACACTTTCCACCGGTATGTGGGATGATAGAGGGACTGGATAATATCAGTGTTGAAGGCAATGCATGGACAAAGTGGAAATTCCAGTGAACCCTTCGGACAGGCCATCGCATAAGTAGGGGTCATGACGTCAAATCAGAATCAAGATATACGGTTGTAAACTAAGAATTTTACGCCCTGGGGTCGGCCTCTTCTGTTTGAACTCGTGCTCTGCGGCGGAATACGCATGCCAAAGTCGTAGTCTCTCAGCCTTAACGGGAAGTAATTCCCTTCAAATCTTAAGGCTTTGGAAAACGCATGTTCTCGCTGTTTTCGCGCTCTCTAACGTGGGTTTTCCGATTCAACGTTGCAGATATTAGGTCTTAAAGAAAGTTCCTGGGCACCTGCGGACATTTTTCTATTCGCTGTAACTTCAAGGAGATTGATTCTTTTTTGAAGCTACAAACTTCACTGCAAAGACATTTGTCCACAACGCATATTTGTCCTGCTGGCTTCTCGGCACCTGACTGCGGTCCATCAGCACTCGCAGAAGAGAAAAATGTCATCGCGAAAAGTGGATCCGTTTGTTTTCCGGAATCCGTTTGTGCAGGATTATCTCTGGCATGATGAGATCTGGAGAGCTCAAACTGTAGTAATATAGAAGTCTGCTGGGACTGTTATGACTATTTAGGCCTTTGAGCGACCACATGCAAAAAAGCTTTTCCAGAAAACTTGAAAAATCGATCATTCTTTGTCCCTAAAAAGGCACCATTTTTCGAGTAAGTGACTTTGAAGTCTTGCCGTTCTGCATAGGGTAGACCAAATCTTTGTTTACTGCGAAGCATTGGGGGTAATGCCTTACACATCCTTTGAACCCATCATCCAGGCGTGCCGATCCTCGCAAAAACGACTCCAGCTGCGAAAAGAGCTGCAGTCAGAGGCAAGTTCGACAGCTTGTGATTTCTGAGCGCAAATCGCAAAACTCGACTGCAGTTGCGAATCAGAAGTTGACAGGCTTTTAAATCAAATCACCCATAATTTGGACGAAATTTCTTGAATAGCACAGAAAAATGGCCGTAGGAAAAAAATTGTGAAATTTTTGTGGTCGGAAAGATTTTTCTTCTCGATGTGCAGATCAAACACTTCTTGGCATCGAGAAAAATCAGAAGCCGTATTAAAAATTCTAAGCTTCCCTTAACTGAGCAGTGCAAAGAACTTGGTGTCAAAGTCCGACCGAGAGCCGAAAAAATGTATTTGAAAATGAAGTTTCTCAAAGTGCCCGGGACCTTTTTTTACAACCTAATAATCCCAGCAAATTGAATTTTCTAGAAATCAAGGTCTTGCCTGGATACTTAGACCTTATAGCAGTCGTCAATATCCAAGATCTGACAGATTGGAGCATGTTTGAGTCTACTTTTTGAATAGGAGAGATATAGTGCTATCCATTCAGACTGGATAATAGTTTGCACATTAGATCTCTGCTATATCTAATCTACCTCAATCGATCATCGTATAGGGTTGTTTTAGACTGCAACACTGACCGCAGTGACTATACTAACTGCAACTACCGGGCTCCACTTCAGGGTGCACACCGGTCACGGCGGCCGCTTTGTTGCACACGCAGCGCACAAGTTTTGTGCTCCACGAAAACTTTTTGCTGCTAGAGCTTTCGGGGCCAAAACAGAGAGGTGGAATGGGACAGATAATTTTGATGCCGTGTACAATACTGCGCAAAAGTTCTGGCTCTCGTGATAATCAATGTCGCCTTAGGGCATCGCCTTGCGTTTCGTGATTTCTGACCGTTCCTCAGCAGCCGTAGATATACAATAAGTTTTCAAAGTCCTTTGCTTTTTTCGACCTATCATAAAACCCGAAGGATAGGCATAAAGTACTATTTGATGGAGTTTGTGCTTATCTCTTAGTCTCTGACCTTATTATTCTTGTTCACTAAAAAACAGTCGCCAAAATTTCAAGCCTATGTATTTTACTATGTCCCACTTCAGCAGTTTCTTAGAATTTTATTTTAGACCTTTAAAAGGGCTTTGATACTCGTGCGACTGAAACATTGTCATGAACTACATCACCTTTCCTGCCACCGGACGCCTTAGATGTTAACGAGCATAGAGTAGTCTCAATAGCCAGCTCATAGCTTTGCACTTTATAGAGATTACCAATTAATGTGTATAAACACTTCATTCTTATCTTACATGCAAAAAACGAAGAAGGTGCCTCGGGAAGAGTTCATTTGGAATGTGTATAAAACCCTATAAAATGTCTAAAATGAAATTTCAGGATATTATTGAAGTTGGACATGTCCGAAACGAGAATCGACTCCTAAACAAGTCACAGTGAGGGTGCAATACATACAGCTAATTTGGTCGGGCTCAGTACGCCAAAAACAGTAAAGCTTAGCAGTCATTTAGTGAACATTGTTGTGTCGGAGGGTAATTTATTAATTTTCTTGTTGTGTCAGAGAGTATTTTATTAATTGAGAATTTTCAAAGTTACGAAACCGTGTAAATTAAGCTTTTAAAGAAACATTCTTTAAAAGTTCACTGATTCACTTACCGTCCTAAACTGTGTGTGAGGACGAGTTTTTCTCAAAACATTTCTGATGTCACTTTTGCTTGATTAGGAAAGTTTCGATTATAAGGCATCCATATTAGTTATGTCAATGTTATGCGGATTATGATGATTGAAAAAATTCGGCGATATCCTATTTCAAATGCTGTTACAAGTCTTCAAACTCTGTTGAAGAAAAGAAGATAACAAAATATTAGGTGGGTCCGAAAGTTCGTGCCGTTTTTTAGACCTATTCTATAATCATTCAGAATGAAGATAGACAAATACTTGGGATTATCCGATGCAAAATTTCTTCCTATTTCCAGCAGCTATGTTCCCGTTTTGGCTGTTCCAACGGGCGCTGAGATAATTGGTAAAAACTCGAACTCTTCATTTTACCATGTCTAACTTTCGCTAATTTTTAGATTTTTCATTTTAGGGTTTTGAAGGTGCTTTAATCCTTCAATCACCATCTGATAGGGCATACCTTTTCAAACCAATGCAAATTTTTGCATCTTTTTGGCGTCCGAACGACTGGGCAATGGTCAGAATTAGCAAATCCAAACAAGCTGCAGTGCTGACTCTAAACATGTTTTCCGTATCTGCTGAACTCCTTTGTAGGCGACATTATGAGCAGTTTTATGTGATAAAATCGCACCAATTTTTTTAGCTCACCTTCAATCATGAGCCATATGGGGTAGCTACATGTTTTGCCCCAGCATTAAGCCGAACATGGTTCGTAGGGCAATTGCACTTTGTACGCACAATTTCTTAGCGAAATAATGGCCTTCACTTCCATCTGCGAGCTGGAAGGGCTCTCACCACTGATTGCTGACTTGTTTTAATTGAGCATTCAGTGCTCATAACTCCTCATCCAGAGGCCCTCTGCAGAAAAAGAAGACGAATTTGAAATTGTGGTCTGATGCCCATTATATGCTTGCGTCGCAGTTAGAGGAGCCACTTCAACTAAGGATCGTTTCCCAGAGAGAGGTGAACTGTAATAAGGTCAGTGGAAAATAAAGATAGTGACAATGAGCATTTACTCAAGTGAGTAAATTTGAAAAGAAACATACCTTTATTGTAAACTCTGTATCTTTAGATTCTAAGTTCATCCCAA